CTGTGGATCGTCGTCGTCTTCATCATCGTCATCATCTTCTTCCTCTCTTTCATCATCAATTTCAATGTCATCATCATCATCATCGTCTTCTTCTTCATCGTCATCATCATCTACTTTTGCTTTGGTATCTTTTTCATCTTCTTCAGAGTCATCACTTGAATCCTCTTCGCTTTCATCGCTCTCATCTTTAGATGTGCCTGCTTCTTTTTCTTTATTTACTTTTTTGTTATTATTTTCATCTTTTACCGTTGGTTTACTTTCATCTGAAAAATAATCCTATTTAGAGATGCTTATCACTGAAAACTCCAAAAAACAAACCTTTAGCACTCTTTTCCTTTTGCAGCTGATTTGTGTAGGCAGTTTTGTTAAGCGAAAAGTCAACCGCTATGGCTCGTTTTAGAATCTCTTTGCCGTTCAGGTGCTTGATCGCCCGCAGCGAGGGGCCCATGTTCTCGTAGGTGATAAAGGCAAAGCCTCGGTGCTGCTTTCCATCCTCCTTCTTCGGCAGGTTCAGGTCGACGATGGTGCCAAAGGGTTCGAAGGCCTTGCGAATGTCGTCCTCCGTCGCCTTGAAGGAGAGGTTGCGAATGATCAGCCGAGACTGCTTCACCTGCTGCAGCTTCTTCTTCCTCTTTCGCTCGAGGGCGGTGGGCTTTTCTGCTAAGTAATGGTAATCGATTAGATTAAACTTTGATAACACTTTAACACCCAAACTGAACAGACAATCTCTCACCTTTGATGTTCATCTTTAAGATCAGATGTGTGTTTTTTCTAGAACCAAAACAAAAAACACGTTGTTTTGGCTGGAAAAAAATTCTGCACGTGTGCCGCGGCGGTGCGTCCGTTTCCACAGCACTCGTCGGCGGCGGCTGCAAAGTTGGCCAAAACAACACAAAACAAAAAATTGGTCTCTCCACTTGTCAACTCGAGGTGAAGGGGAACACCAACATCAACAAAAAGTAAAACCCAATTTTGGCTTCATCGTTTTCTGGTTCTAAATTAACTCTGGAACACCATGAACACCTCCTCAAAGTACGCCAACCTGCCCTTCATCGCCTCCGGTGAGCGGGACGTCTTTGAGTCGGACGACCTGCCGGAGGCGGATCAGGCGTCATCCTCTGCCGCCGCCCACCATCAACATTCTTCCATTACTGATGCCTCCATTGAGATCATTCCCACCGGAACGGGTGATGCTTTTCAGAAGTTTGCCTCCTATGATCTGGTTGGCCAGCAGTCGATTAGAAGCGGGGTAAGCTGGCGGTGATGGTGTTTTCTATTTGTTTCTATTTTGTTTTCTAACATTCGAACTCTTTTCATTCAGCCCGAATCAAAGGAGTCCTATCTGGCCAAGTTTAACCGCCTCAAGGCGGAGATCGAGGAGTTGAAGATCGGCCTTGAGGCCAGTGAAAAGGAGGGCGCCAGTGCCGAAGACGTCGCCCA